GACAAGCCCGCACATCCGGTGTGGCAGCACTGCGCGATCCTTCGATAGTGCAATATTTCTGCTTGTGTTCAAGTTGTGCTATTAAAGACGAAGAAAATTGAAAAAAATCAGTACTTAGACTACTGCAGCCAAAGGCGAGTATCGAAGCACGGTTCGTCAAAAGCAACAGTGCTGTCAACGCCAAACGAATCACAAATTGGGTCACACGTAGAGCAGCTTGTAACCAAATGATCTGAGATAGATGCACTCTTGCAGCGTCACGCTCTAAAACCGCAATCATGCTTTCGATCGACAAACCTATATCGGGGGCAGTCGCGATGGTCGTTGCGGCACTTCGTCTTTACTGCAGCATGACATCGCTTTGATTGATTGATTAATATGTACAGTTTAACGTCCCAAAACCACCATGTTATTATGAGGGTTGCCGCAGTGGAGGGCTCCGGAAATTTTGACCACCTGGGGTTCTTTAACGTGCACCCAAATCTGAGCACACGGGCCTACAACACTTTCGCCTCCATAGGAAATGCAGCCATTGCAGCCGGGATTTGATCCTACGACCTGCAGGTCAGCAGCCGAGTACCTTAGCCACTAGACCACCGCGGCGGGCCACAGCAGCACTGCAGCGCTTTCTTCGTCTGGGCATGATAAAAGAGAGTATGAATGTGACTAGCCATTATCATGACCATTAAAATTAACAGTTGCCTCAAGTCACGATAGCGAAGCGATGTAAATATATTTACATTTGCTAATGAAGGTACACCTAAGCTGAAAAGCATATAAGTATAAAGAAACGAACAAAAAAGAAGTGGTTGACTTGTAAATGCTTTTATTACAGATGATAACAGCAATGTGTAAAAAATAAGCATCGTGTTCATTCAGGCTCCCCAGCGTGACTTCGCCGAGGAGAAGGCGGGAACGTTTCCACGAGAAAAATTATTTGCCTCTTTAGTTTAATACTTAGTGAATTCGCCTGCAGCTGCCACAATGGCGCCCATTCTTCGGGGAAGATTGTCAATTAGCCGTGTCACAAGATCACTAGCGCATAGGCGCTCCCATTCCTCTTTTCTGCGCCCTCACTTCCATGGAAATGCTCGGCATTTTCAGTTAAAGTAAAGGCTTTTCAGGTACGCCTGTGAACGAAGGGTGCAGGTAAAGCAGCGCTGGCGAACGAGATATGACGTTCGTTTGCGAATTTACCACAGAACGAATCAATTTATTTTCTTTTCGTTTCTTGTTAAGACACAGATTGCACTGCGACGCTGAAGTAAATTCAAGAAGTTCCGAGCGATACGATCAAAAGCGCTTGGCATGCGCACGATGGCCACCATTATCATCATACGGAAACTAGAGTAGAAATAGAGATAACACACCATAGGGGGATTACGCAGTGCTGCCAAACCAAATGTGCATGCCTGTGAATGGTGACGAATTGATGACGAACACTATACTGTTTATAATGCTTGAAACACGCGCTCCACTGTTCGCGTTTCATTTGATGCCAATAGTACAGCATAGGAACTGTGGAGCAGAAAAAATGTATACCATTATTTCTTTGTCACAAAACATTACCTTTCAGGGAGCCCTTCGAAAGCGAAATTACATGTTTCGAATACCTAATTGTTCTTTGTCTCTAGACCTAATTTTCACATGTTTTTAAATAAATGCAAGCTCAATGTTTTTCCAAAAATCAACAGTTTTTATGACACCTTTCTGCACTTTTTTGAGGTATTTATTATAACGTGGACTGATTTAGGATACTTTAGGGCGATAAGTTTAGAATATTCCTAATTTTCACAATGTAAAGTATTGAAGCTGAGATAACCTACAATTTTCCCAACATTTAGTATTTTTAATGTTATAAATAGTAGGTTCTTATGCGAAATTTCAACAAAGTTTAAACTTTTCTATGTCCCCTAGTTTTCTGTTTTTATACCATAATTTACAATATGACGGTGAAAACAATACATACAGCAATACATCCTCATTTTCACTACACTGTAAAATATTTTAGTCCGTTGCGTGATCTAAATGGGCCGCTATGTTGACACAAACCTCTTTTATTCCTCTGTCACTGAACTCGTAATGTGAACTGATGGCACATGCCACGTATTTTGAGAAAATTTTGTAATTATACTACGTATAACTGGTATTTATACTTGACACACTGGAAGTGTCTTTTAAGGTGTCGTCTTTAATCAGACACAAAAAACATTTTTGGAACCAAACAAAAACATATTTGTACAAAATGGTGACTTACCTCCAGAGAAAAATTGATTAGGTAAAAAAATTCATCTACAATTAGAGTACTGTTTAATACGACTTCTGAACGCAGATGCTGGGTATTTTGATTGGTGCGAAATGTAACTATAAAATTCTGCTTCAGATGAGGGCCGCGGTATTCCTGTGGCGGTGTCGTTGAGCTTTTACTTGGGCAGCTCACATAACATCAATGGCCGACGCCGGCCATTCCCCAGTTGCGTTGCTTAGTTTTTAAATTAACTGGAACCTTTTTGTATATAAATTTGCACTAAGAAAACGGCCTGAGTAGCGTGACAAGGATGACAATTTTATGGAGCTCATTCAATGTGAAACACCACAGATGGAGCGTACTGCGACTGTCTGGTCAATGCCTCCTGGCCTGGCTGACACTGAGAGCACGAAATGCGGCAGTGGGCGCGTTCCAGAACAGCCGACGCGCCATGGCGCGCTACTGTGGTGACGCGGGTGGCCGACCCAGAACTTGTTATGTCGCCGCTGTCGTTCATTCCTCTTCGTGATCTCCGTTTATTCTGCATCATCCTCGCTTAGCCTGTCGCTTAGACGCACCCCGCTTGACGCAGAAACCGGCGTATAAACCTGTTTCACATGCAAGCAATTTGGACCCAAGAACGGAGCGACATCTGTCGCATGAGCCCAAACCTGGTTTCTAGAGCGTCTACTTGACACGGCTGTCAACATCAATAGAGGTAGTGAAATTCACGCGCAGCAGACAATCTGACCAATGGGGAAGCTACGACTTGGGGAGCACGCATGTCTTACTAACATCACTAGAACCTTCATAGGGCTGAAAGTGGTAAACAGTAATGCCATGAGGCATCAAACGCAGTGTTGCCTTTGTCACCTCTTCAATGATCTGAAAAAAGAAACAATGTAAAGGTTGATATAACCCCACATTTGTCGCATGTGCGAAGTTTCAATATTATTTATCGCTGTTGATTGCTCTTTGAATTCACTGGGGATATTTATAAATATGACTCGATGATGTACTGAACAACGATGCTCTCTTTATTGGCTTCAAACAGAGCATAGAGAAGGCACAACTGTCACTTCCGCGACAATGGGGATAGAAAGAAGCGAGTCGACACACCATTGCAAGTTACGCCCAGTGCCAACATTCTTCCGGCACGTTGAATGTCTAAAGCACAGCAAAAACTGTGCAGCAGAATGTTTCATCGCCATAACAACTGTTATCACTGCTTCCTTCATTGCTGGTTCCGCACACCGGTCGAAACGGACACCGGATGAACGACTGAAGTCTCAGCTGATGCCACCGACGTAGCACCAGAACAGCTCGTACTTTGTTGACTTATATTAAGTCTGGCAGTTGTGGGCCTTGATGCTTGGCACGAACCTCAAGATTCGAGGTACAGTAGCTGCACCGTCGTTAGCACAGTGGGTATTCATGGCTCCACACGCCAGCGTAGTCCCAGCACGACAAGGCTTTCCTAAGATAAACGAAAATTACAGGAGGCGTCAGGAAATTGCTTCATATTTTAGAGCACTGAAAACGGTAATGTGGTCGTTTTTCACATTGTACCGGTCATATTGTACTTAAGCATGTACAGTGCATACTTAGGCTGAATACTCGCAATGATAAAAAGTCAGCGGGAAAGTTTAAAGTCATTCATTGACTCATTGCCTGATTCATACAGCCACCGCCTAAATACTGTAGCACAATACACCTTATAACTTCTAATATTAACATTGTAATTCTACAGAGTGTCAATCTATATCTCTAAAGACAGGTAGGAATGAGAACGAATGACATGTTCACCCAGCGGTATTAGTTGTATAACTCTCTTTAAAGAAGCATTTAAATGACCAGTTTATGCAGCTGTTTCTGATTTAATCGGAAAGTAGCTCAAACCCATGCAAGGTTTTTTTGCGTTACTATGCACTGTTACTTTATGAACCGAATTACTGCATCAATTCACAGTAGTGAAAAATTTGCGGTGACCCCCATAATCTATCACGTGTCTCGTGTGGCACAAGCATAAAATGATGCACCATTTTTGTCTTCGTTTTATCTTTATATTGGTAATTCTTATTTTTTAGTTTCTGTTTTTCTTACTTTTTCTTTGCTTTGTCATCGTTTAGCGGCGTCTAATTTCAGTCTTTATGTATAATTTTCCTTACTTTACTAATAGATTCATTTTTTTCTGCATCTGTAACAATAATCTAAAGTTTAACGTCTCAAAACCAAACAGTGATTTTGAGAGAAGCCAAATTGAAGGGCTGCAAGAACGTTTTCCACCCGGCGTTCTATAATCTGCTCATTTTTTCTAACTACGCGGACCTCAAGCATTTCCACCATCATCAAAAATTCTTTTGTACGTCGAGCTCATACCTGCATATATTCCTAGCTCACCAGCATTAGTAATAATGACGTCCACGAAGAGCGTCTGCTGATAAAAGGTTTACTATCCATCAAGAAATGATGTTCAATAATGTAAACTCATTTGGCTTCAAGTCTTCATCCCATAACATTTGTCCAGGTAGCCCTGGGTACATTGGACTACTGAGATCAATAAGCCTAAATTCATGCACTATACTGGCTCGTGCATTGCTTTCACCACCAATTCATTCTGAACTCTTTTAACTAGCCATAGCTCTGTTTATTTCAACGCTCATACGGAAACGATACATTTTAATTCTTGAATAGCTGCGATAAGCATGCATTCTAGACACACTTTCGACGCAATACAGTCACTCACCCTAGTGGTTAACCAGCCACTTGTGTGCTTCAAGCTCATGAGTTCAGTTTTTTCACAGCGCCTCAGCCACAGCAAGTGCATCCCACTTTTCTTGTTCTATAGATCTCCCTGCATTCATGGAAAAACAATCATAGTAAGATACGTTCCGTAACATTCTTTGATTTCCATAGCTTTGTACTCCCTGCAGGTATGCGATGAGGTGTAAGATTATACCGTCGTAGAACTTCCATATCATACAAGGTTGCTTCCCTGTATAACAATATGTATTCTGCATAAATAAAGGCACACAGATGTTTCTTGTTCGAGGAATTCGTACCACTTGTTGTGTATGTAAATATGAGAATACTGGAATTTTATTAATCGCAATTAACTTAGCTGCAAGGTGATGTTAACTTCTATGTTTGTCCTTCACTTCAGAGGTTTCCAATTCTAACGTACGCATTGTACTTACTATGGTTCTTGATCGCTAATGGCATTGTCTTGTTTGACATTGAAGCGTAGTAGGTGGAGCTTGCTACGCTGTTCTTCATGGCTGGTTCCTTCTGGTTGAACACGGAAAGGATTACCGCGTCTTGGAAATACTGCTTACTCGGGTCAGGACTCTCTGTATAAGGAAAGAGCATAACAGACATCTTATATTTTAGTTTAACTCACACAGCACATCTCACAACAGATACTACCAGCAGGGGCAGTTTATTCGGTAGATTTGGTAGACACATTGAAGAATATCTAATGCAGTGAAGATCTTCAAATGTTGAGATATAGCTTGTTCAAACAAAACGCTAGTTAATTGGTACGAACTTGTAATTAACTACGCTAAAATAGCTGTATAGTAAATAGCTGCATAGCAAGAAACTTTGGGCTCTGTTTCGTTTATTTCAAGCTCTTCAGCGTGTAATATAGTGAGTTCGGCAGCAATTACATTCTATTCTTCCTGCACAAGTCAGAAATATTTTTTATATCTAGTCAGATATCTAATATCTCATGATGGAGCAGCTGCGTCCACCGGCAAACAGTCCAATGCTAACAATTAAAACGAAGCTGGCCCCATATTGCGTTTCCTTGCAACCATTCAACCTCGAACATGACGCCACCTACACTGACTTTTGCAACCGACGGCGCAGTAGCACGCATTCTACGCACTCACTATGCCTAAAGGACACACGGCTCTACCACCAGCTGTGCACTTTAAAGCATGGGCCTTGGCGTCATCATGTTGCAGCTGCACCCGAACGTATTTTCTGGGTGTACATTGCTCACGCCAAAGAGTTTAAGGGGGCCCCAAAATACGTTGTCTCTTTTTCAAGTTTTCAAGTTTTAAAGTTTTTCAAGACTGCACTGTCTGCTGCCTCTTTATTCGTACATTTTGTTTCACATAAAACAAGGCGATGTCCTCACCTTGTTCAATGGCTCTGTTTCTGCGTGACCGATGCCTCTTGAAGTATATGTGGACGAGAAGGACGGCAATTGGCATTAAAATGGCACACACAGCCAGTGGAGCCACCATTGACGCATTCAGGTGAAATGGTACCGCCGACTGGTCCTTGATTGCAGTTGGACTTTGGGTTGACACTGCGTAAACCACAAAAATAGAAAGTTATTTATATGATGGTCGTCTCTAATTGAACTGTTTGTGCGAGAATTGATTTATTCTAGGTCAAGAATATATCAATTTTATAGGGGCAAAAAAGGAAGAAACTTGTGTGTACGACGGTTTTTCTTTAGCACTTTCATCGAGTGAGGGTGGTTCAGCAACTGGAAGCTGCTGAAGCAGGACTCTATCATAGATAAACGTATGCAGTACTTAAAGCTGCTGACTTCAAGGTATAGCTAGTATGCGCTACTAGAAGCCGCTGGCACTGTTCATTATATATTTTTTTTACATTGACTGCATTTTCAGGGCTCTATCCAGGAAAAAAAAAAAGCAAGATAAAGCTACTGAGCCTATTCTCAACCATTGCTTAGTCAAGTCATATAACAATAGGCATTATAGATTCAGACAGCGTTTGTAAAGGCTAAGGAAGCATTCTGAAAATATAAAATGGGCTGGGAAGAGCTGAATTATGCAGCCTGAAGATTTTTTTTCTGAACTGCGGTCGCAAAACTATCGTCAATGATTGAAATGCCTCAACTCTCGTCGACGGAACGGTAACTGTCTGATGTCGAAGAAACTGATTGTCGCATTAGAAGAAAAACAACGCTGTAAAATATGTTTATTAGTAGACTGCCTTACTTAGGTCATCGTGGTCGCCTTCCACTCTTTTTTACTGGTTATCTAACCACTTGCAAGATTTTAAGCGGACCCCCATCCCGACCCATTTCTTGTATGTAAGTCACCTCACCTGTTGGTGCGGTGCCCTCCTCCACTGAATTGGTTCCGACATTGACATCACGTTTCACGTTCCCTCTTTCTAAATGTCTCTAACACAAACAACGAACAACTTTTAGTACTGCAATGAGCTCTACACTAAACTCTCCTCTACAGGCCAATAAATATACTGCCGCTCAAGATATTTCGAGCCTTAACCTCGACTGCTACGCCTGCTCCGTAATAAGAATATTTGTTTATTCCTTTCTTATTATTACACTTCGCACACATACGAAAGTCGCAAATTAACTTTTGAAAGAATTGTAAAATTGATAATTTTGTTAGAGTTGGGTGTTAACAAATTTAAGGCTGAATGATCCTCAACCGTACTTGACATACAACTAAAGGAAAATGACTATTCTACTCGACCGCTAACAAAATTGATTGATTAATATGTGGAGTTTAATGTCCCAAAACCACTCATATGAATATGAGAGACGCCGTAGTGGAAGGCTCCGGAAATTTTGACCACCTGGGGGCTAACAAAGTTCGAAGGGCGTGCATTGTATTCTGAAAGGTTCTGAAAAAACACATAAATTTAGCGCCAATGGTTTTAGAATAACTTGTAGTTGTCGAAAGTGCGACAGGCATGTGGCTCCCTTCCCCTGTTCATGTATTTAATGGCGTTCCTTTGCTGAGCACAAGACTTGACTATGGTGAATTCGTTCTTCCGATCAACGTTTCTATCAGGACTTATCATTGCAAGAAGGATGGTGAAAGCGATTCACACCTTCAGCTTTCTTCATCCAACTATATTTGGCCATAGTTTTCTTCTAGAACGCTTTGGAGTTTGGTACGACGGTCTGTAGTTTATAAGATCATTTCCACTTATGCCTATTATTCGTTATTTGACTTGCAAAAAAAAAAAACGCAAGAGCGTCAACCTCCTTTGCGACGTGCTGCTGACTACCTAATCTAGAACTGCGCTGCACCAGATAAAAAAGAACACCTAGGTGATCTATGAATTCTTTCCCCTCATAGTGGGCGCTAGGAATCGGGCAAGTTGGGTATCAACAAAATCACATATTTTAGTCTCATGATGACGAGTGGTCTATTTTCGTCATGCTGCGTTATATTACAGTGCGCGACCATTTATATCTTACCACCGAACGTTTTAGCGAAGTTCGGTGAAGGCCACGCCCAGTTTTTCATTCTTAAACATGAGTACACGGGTCTCAGGCATTTGGTCTGTACCGAATCCCGAATGCGGTGACCACCATTCAATATAACAAGTAAGCTTTTATGGGCAATGTTAAATAATTACGACACTATCTTCTGCAGCCTATAAAAGATGCCAGGCTAAGGGAGCCCACAAAAGTAGGGGAGTAGCAGAATAAACGAACATAAACAGATTCTGGACATTTGAATGGAATCCCGATCAGAGACGTTTTATATCGGCAAAGTGACGAAGACTGCGTACACTCGTGTCTGGTGCCTCAAATAGACGACGCCATATGAGATGGCTCGATTGCTTACCACTGGCAGGCAACGGTGTGGTCCGAAAAGAGAAATCGGCCTGCGTTGCACCGGCGTCGCTCTGCGCAACTACGCGCACCTGGTACTGGCGGCTAGGTGATAGGTCTCCAATGACGTAGTGACGCGTGCCAGGGTTGATGCCGTCTGCGGCCAGAATCCATGCCTTGTGGAATCTCGGCCGGTACTGGACGGCAAAGCCAGTCACGGGACACCCGGCGGTCATCCAAGCAGCCAAGTTCAAACTGGCACTGGTGGCATTGGTGACGACAAACGTGTCGCTCGCCGGAGATATTGGAGCTGAACAAAATATGGATATATGCAAGAGATTCCCGTAGAAAAGTATGCTTTCATAAAGAAAGCTAAGTTGACTTAAGCAATAACGAAGTAACGACAAGTTGAACTGACTACTTCTGAAGCAGAAACGGACATAAAACATATGAATGTAAATAATACAGAAGCCACCAGCTTGAAACTACGAGATAGGGAGGAAGCATTAGATGCAGTTACTTTGTCTAAACAACACACTGTAACACTAGCCTAAGTACGTCTTGATTCGGAGAACGCTGTGGGGCCTATGGTTGGACGACGGGCTTGTTGGTTATTCTTTGCACCTGATGTATAGCGAGCACCAGGAACGGGACAGAGAAAACACATAACACATTCAGAGCACTAATTTTCAACAATGCACTGATTCATCAATTAAGTGCACTTGCTTTTAACTCAGTGTGCGCTATTACCAAATGTAATAAACAAAACAACATGTGCACAATAAACAAAATATAGGCACGCGTAGTTAGCTGCCATAAAGCTTGTTGCGTAGACACAGCTTCCGCGGGAAGTGTAAGAGTCACCTTCACTTGTTAAACGGATGCTAGTGATAATGTTGCAAAATAATTATCAGATACCACGAACAGTGGGAATTGATAATATGTGCTCTGCTTTGTCGCGCACTCGGTGCGTCATACCTCAAATGCTAGGGGCTCTAAGTGTTCCTGCAATTCTCTTCCAAGTAATTGAATGACCTCACTACGAATTTTCATTGCCCCGCAAATCAACTGCTGCATAATTTGCTAATTCGTCAAGTACAAGCACATTTCAGAGTTCCTCTCAAATTTACTGTCAACAAGGGCGTTAAAACTAAAACAGGAAGGTTTGTCGGCAATGACGCTATCTGTAATTAAGCAAAAGCTTTACATGTCATTTATATAATGAGAGTAGGGAAATGAGACAGTAAGTACCAGGACGACAAACGCCAGGACAAAAGACGATGAAACACGTGCATTCTTGAAGATGTACATGACATGGAAGGATGCAACGACCCATACTCAATTTCAAAGTCATACCAGCAGAACAATGGCAAAAGTATTGATATGAAGCTAAACCAACGCAATATAGGGAGTGACAGTGACACAAAGGTAATATGATGCTATAAGTACAGGAACAATGATCGCACGAACCTGCGCCGTTGGTGCGTACAATGACCTCGGCTCCAGGCTCTCCTGTGCCGATGCTGTTGGATGCAGTCATGTAGAGGCGATACGTGGTGCCGCACTTGAGGCCATCAAGTACGAAGGACTGCTTGCTCGAATTCAGCGACACCTTGTTCCATTCTCCCAGTTCGGTGCCGTAATGCAGCACATATTCTGCAAGAAAAATCCGATCATGGGTCATAAATCTAAGAATAAATTAAACGTTGATGCACGTGATGTTAACGAGTCAAAGGAGGTCTAGAGAGCTGTGTGTGTGTGTGTGTGTGTGTGTGTGTGTGTGTGTGTGTGTGTGTGTGTGTGTGTGTGTGTGTGTGTGTGTGTGTGTGTGTGTGTGTGTGTGTGTGTGTGTGTGCTCACACGCTTCCTGTGCGTGAAGCATCAAGTGTGAGTTCCATTTTTGATTTTCAGTGCATGGAAGGTCGATCCAAACCACGGACAGTAACAGACATGACATAGGCCTCGTCTTCGTTGGCGTCTGCATTCCAGCACCACGGGTACTTTTAGATGCGAATAAGCTTTAGCTCGGCTCGACTCTTTTTTAGCGCGTCCATTCCTCGACAATCGCCCATTCACCCACTGCGCATGCAACCAACTCCCGCCCCTCTCTTCGCGTGAGCCCGAGGAGGCGGGAAGAGGTGGCTAAGCGCTGCCTCAGCTTCGCTTCTCTTTTCTGGTTTTTTCTCTCTGCCACAGCTGTGCAGTCGTTTATAATGCTGTGCGCGCTCGCTCCATCGCAGTGTCCTAGCAGCGCTGGGTATTCATTTTACGGCACACACGAGGTAACACAAACAAATGGGAGAGGGGGAAGATAACCCATACACAACTTATACACATATTGCGCGCATAAATGAAACCCACTCAGAAAGAAACAAATGGAAACACAAGTGAACACCAGTGCTGCCTCAGATACCCACATGGCTCCGTTTAGTAGGAGATGGTGTATTTTTTTTTTTTGCAGATACCGTTGCCTTATCTCCATCATGATACTAAGTGTCTTGGGCCAGCTGCCATTGCTTGGAAGGCATTTTAACTAGCAATAATCACCTTCTTTTTTTCGTACAGCCGGCGTGAGTAGTCGGATTTATTCAATATCTGTGACGCATGTTAGTGTATGATGATGACAGTTCTTGTTTGTACGAGGTGAACAACAAACTTTTAGATTAAGATTCGTGCTGTTAAAAAATGTTCGTTTAAGAAAGTTCTCATTATACCTGCCCTGCTAAAAACAAAAACAAGCGAAGACAAAATTAAAATAAGAAGGAAAATCACTGCCATTATATAACACAGTTTCAAATACGACAATAAACTGGAGACAGACATTCTGTTCACATGTTGGTTCGGCTACGAAATATCTCTCCTATGCAGCTACTAGTACTTACCCGTCACTGAATAATCGTCCTTCTTCTCCTTTTCCCATTGCACTAGCAAAGACGAGTTCGAGAGTGGTAGGGCCTTTATGCTGGGTGATGTAGGCGGTGCTGAGCATCAAAAAACGAGTAGGGTTTGAGTTACTCTGTGTCAGTTTGCGAAGAAAAGGCAAACACACAAGGGCCTACTACACTTGGGTGATGGGCACATTAAGTGCGTTATGCGTCAATCTTCTCACATGCTTTCAAGCTATCTTAAATTATATAACACAGTACTTGTTAATAATGAACACATTAAGGCCCAAATGTGCTGAAACTCTTTGTAGTCAGCGATCTTTATTATCATCCGCAATAAGTTCAAGTAAAATTTGATGACAACCGCACTTAGCATGAGAAATTAAGAGAGGTAATTACGTGCATAAAGATGCGTGCATAAAAACATGGGAGCGTTAAGTTTAACCTATTATACACAAAATATTTGAGCGGCATGCTGTTTCGCAACTGTACGCACAATAAACCGCTACTTTCAATGTTTGGTATACTTGCGATACACACCCTTAAATATTTTACGGCTGTTTCATAAAACACGCAAGCTTCAACATACGCAGAGTGACCGCTGCGTGCACACAGGCATTGAATTTCTTTTAATTACAAGCAAATAAAAGGCTTCCTTGACCGTTCACGTAGCTATTTCTGTGAACTCAGTTTTTTTCTCCAGTTTGGAGGAAATGTTGTCTATTACAACTTTACCACCGGTCTGTATTTTGGTCTCTGTAATTTTCTGTTTTGGTGTCCGTGTCTTGGTGTGCGTCTTTATTCAGTCAAAAGATTACCACCAGTCGTCGGAGGCCTTTAATTCCAGCTAAACACTCTGAAGAAATGTAGGCAACCGGTGAGACCACATGCTAAGAGAGCTGGCTGTTAGAGAGGTTTACATCTACGAGAGTTCAGCTTCGCTCTTTCTGCTTCTGCTTGCAAATTGTGCAAAGAAGACGAGTGTCTAAGTATTATTCTCATACGTAGAACGCTTCCTATATAATCACTCATGGGCACAATGTTCTTACAGCGAGACACGGCACAGTGATGAATTTATATTTCATCCAGCAATGACGCCTGAAATTCAGTCTCATCGCAAATACGAACTAGGTCGTAAGCAGGTCGGATCACTACTACAGGTATTTTAACTTAAATACATTGTCGCTTTTTATTAGGCGATTGTTCCTCTAGGGGCTTTCAGTTGTGTCAAGTTTGTGCCTCTGTGTTTATTGTGCGTTGTAGACAAACCGAAATAATTCAATTCATTCCCGTGGCAGTGTCTCTAGAAAATCCTCAAGGGCATTGCCCGTAATTGCTACAGTATATCAGACGGTTACACAAATATAATGTGCACAACCATCTTTAGGTATCATTCCAACTATATTGCGTTCATGCGTCACTACAACTAACTTCCACTCGGGTTTCTCTAAAACTCGCTCTGCACAGGGGGTCAATCTCGAAGCTCAAGTATTGTTAACTGTAGAAAGCAAGAGACCACCACGTTTTGTTTAGGTAAATTATAGTATCACAAAAGAACGAACTTCCAATGAAGTGGCTCTCCCAATTAAAGGCTAATAATCTATATTGTGATTACGCCTGTGCTTTGCGACACTTCATAGAAATGTCGCTATTAGAGTAGAACAATTCTGTGGCAACGTAAGCGTCACTGTGTCACTCAACCCCTCTAAGGCTGACATATACTACGTGCTTGTCCTGCCACAACGAACATGTTTTTTTTGTTTTTTTGCAACACTATTTGCGCACAGCGGCGTCCTTCCAAACAACCATGATGGTGTAATTACTGAGAGGCTCTCATTACACGTTTATCGTTCCCACGGCCATGAAGTGGAACTGCGAGGAAAACAAACATTTTTCATCATGCAAAAAACCCGTTGGGAGTAATGTCTCCCAAACAAAGAGTACACATAGACGACAACGAAATAATGAAAAAAAAAACGTGCTGCTCTGCTCAATCGATGCCGTGTTTTTGAGATACGTGGAGCTATCGCATACTTCAAAGCTAAAAATAGAAGGGCAGTGTCATGTAGGGGAGGGCATATATTAATCACGCATGCTCTTCCGGAAATGACCTGATACCGTGGAAAGTACTTCATCAGACGTTATTTGTTTGCCCTTGCTCTCCTAGGGCTGTAATCAAGCACCCTTGCGGAACATGAGATTGTAGGGAAGTATGCCGAGGGATGGTCGTCGTGCACTCGAAATAAATGCGGTCGCCTGTCCGAGTGCCTAAACTAGCCGTCATTATTAGTCGTGTCCTTCCAATATAAATTTTTTTTGTGATACGCGATTGTTTACTCTCGGCTACGTAGTTGATGGCTTCACTATTCAAGTAAAGATTGATACAGTACAAGTGTGTTTACTTAACCTTAAAAGTAATTGTTATGAATACGAAGAGAACGTGTTTACTATTTGTGCACCTACAATAAAAACGTTTCCTTATGGCTTCTTCCAGCCGCTTTTAACTCAGACTCGCACTCTGACCCCGATGTCTAGTAGGCTGAAAAGGCTTGAACGGCACCGTTCCGAAGGCAACATAAAATTTATTTTTCCACGCCTGTAATTACTGGGAGCATTTGTCTCGAGTAAACATGTGAGAATGCGTGCAGTAAATGAATCAAATGCAAGTGATCACTGAGGGTGAGCCGACACGCAATTAGGAAGAGGTCAAATTGTGAGCATTACGGTTTTTTGTAGAATATGCGCACTTGATAGTGAAGCTTTTCCTTATAATTAGCGGTGCATATTTAGGTATCCGTGGCAGAAACTGTTTGACCTTTTATGATGCACAAAACAATTACCTAACAGAATAATTGCCAGCCTATACAAGACTACTGCTGCGTCGTTTCGTAAAAATCTACAGACACCATTATATAGTGCAAAGAGAGCGTAGTTTATACTACAGACCTGCCAATTTTCTCAAGTTAATCACAGGACCTTCCGCAGTGCCGTTTTTAATCATCCCAATAAGCTAATTTTCTTTGTCATTTTACTGCACATGATCTCATTTGGAGTCCATTTCGTACCTCGCAAGCTGTTTGGGTTCGGCAGTTCACAACTGCCCTACAACCAAGCCTATACAAGTGCAGGAGCGACAACTCACCAGACTCCAGGGTAGTGGCTATAACTTCGTCGGAAGCAGGCCCAGTACCAGCAGCATTGTACGCTTGGACCACAACACCATACTTCGTGAGACGATGTAGATTCGTCAAGTACGTTGTCTCCACGTATTCTTGCTCTGCTTCTCGGCCATCTCCTTCCTCGTTTCGTACAGGAGGAACGCCACTGTGACTGGAAACACGGCGCACCTCGACCTGCTTGAACTGGAAGCTGTCGTCGGTGTGGGCGACGCGATACCCGACGCGATATCCTAAGATGGTGCCGTGCTGCTGCTCCTTCTTCGGTGCCTACGTCGAGATAAATAGGAGCACTCTCAATTAGCCCGATCAACTGGAGGCTGTAGGTACAAATGGTCACGAAGTCTTGCGGACGTAACGAATACAAACAGGTATAGAAACGGATGAATGGAACATTCGCAGTTAAAAGCCAAACCCCATAACCACCAACATACTCGCGACAGCGATGAGTAACGTGGCGTAGATTGCCTTCGCGTGACCAGTCGCTTGCGCTGGCACACTTCCTTCATACGATGGCTTCGGCGAGCGAACTCCACTGTTGCTGGCGTTAGGCCGTCTGCTCGTACCGAAAATTCCATGTAGTTGGCAACATGCAGAGTAAAAGTTAAATGTGTTGTTGTATATGTATAATGGAAAGGAAGGGGTTTATCAAATCCTTGCAGCACTTCTTTTATATGAACGTGCATAAACAATACCTTATTTGTTCGTTGTGCACACTTGACTCAGGTGGAGAGGAGAATAAGTGCAGGTGGTGAATTCGCTGCACATCGAGAAAACCGGCAGTACGTCTGTTGTGTACATCCTGCTCCCACGATTTTAGCACAGTGCTTCCGGGCGATGGGCGACGGATAATCTGGAGAACCAACTGATCACGCGAAAACTACCACGTGACACGTCACGCGAACGCCCTCTTTCGTCGCTTATAGCATCGCTCGTCACTGTAGCGAGCATTCTCGCGTTTATGGGGTTTCGCTTTAACGCAGGCAACTGAATTCAGAATGCGAATGATTTCTTAGTGAACTTCGGTAATTTTGATAATATCTATCTATCTATCTAGCCGCCTACGACATTTAGCTTTCTTGTCTATTTTGATAATTGTCTCTATACTAAAATTGGTATGGCATACATTGTATGACAGAAACAAGTGACTAGTGATAACTTGAAATTCATGATATATATGTCTTTAATGTCTTGATTGACAATTCATGGTCTTGCTGCTCTTGCGGCGGTTTCGTTCACATTACATCAAGCAAAATTGGTATGGTGTGACAGGAGGGCATGGCGAACATATGTGACAGACCTTAACGTGTAAGTGATGACATGGATATCATGCAACTCATTACTACACGCCGCACTTAAGGTGCTCTCGCAGTTGTTTTGTCAGATGCACATATACCAAATTTGGTGATATGGCACGCGTATGAATGACGAATATGACTGGTGAAACATGATAACCATAACATGTGTGGCATGTATGAACTTCAGCACATGCTATGCCCAAAATGCGCTTGCAGTCGGTTAGCTTGCTTCACATATACCAATTTCGGTGTTACGTGACGTGAATGAATGACGAAGGTAGACGGAGCAAACATGATAATCAGGACATGCGTGTCATATAACAACATGATAGCGTACCTCCCTGCTGGGGTGATTGCGGCAGTTTAATGTGCCAAACTTGCTATCAAGCGACGTGAATCGATGAATAAGGTAAACAACACGTCCCAACGTGTTAATTATGACATGCGTGTTGCTAAAACATGACTACATGCTACGCTTATAGCGCATTTGCGGCCGTTTCGCTAGCTCCTCATATAGAAAATTGAATATCACGCCACCGGAGTAGACGAAGGTGAATGACACTTCCAAACAAGATATTCATACGTATTTCATAAGAAATACGTAGCCTCACTGATCACCACACTGATCTCTACACGATCACCACACTGATCGCATTTCACAAGAAATGCGATCAGAGTGGTGAGTGCTTGCCAAAGTTTTTACATTTCTTCGAATCACAATGGCCTGACAACAAGCCCTCCGGCTGGCGTTCTCATGAGAAGGACGTGAAAGAGAAAGAATCAATGAGCTTGAATTGGTGTCTTGTAGAGCGAGAACTTCAATGGTAATAATTTCATTACAATAAGCTCACTCAGAAAGAAGAAAATTAAATTGAAAGTTTTATTCTTAAGTTTTGCGCCAAATATTCATGATTAAGGTAACGGTATTCAAAGTGTAGTGATCGTCTTTCGGCGCCATTCAGTCTAAAAAATATTCTGCGTCTTAGTATTCCGAGTGTCTGTCCTTCTTAGAGAAAAACGAACTGTATTTTTACAGATTAGTAACTACTTGAGCCCTTGTAGGAGCCGTCAAAATGTGTGACGCCACGATGAATGATGCGGAAATATTTAAGTCTTGTTGCCACTCACATTTTGTTTTCCTCTTTTCTCACTTACTACGAGTCTTCTCGCCGCAAGCTGGGTGTTTAGTTTATTGTGAAAGAGTAATTTACCAACCCAAGAAAAATGTTTTTGCTCTTTAGTGTCTCTTGAAAGCTGTGGTCAGCGTCTTTTTGAGGCGGAGCGCCAAATGTTTCGAAGCCGAAGCAGTGGCGTGCTCCAAAAAATCTTACGAGGGGTCTTTGCTAGCAAAACGTAAAAATGTGGATTGATTTTTAAAATTACAATGTGAATCGCGTTTAGTTCCTGCACACTACTCAGTAACTTCAAATCAAGCATATATTACAAACGAAAATCTTTTTCCAGGTGAAACTGCAGTATCAGCATTCATACAGGAAGTGTCAAGAGGAAGGGAACAAGGCGTACGACGCCTTTGCCAGGGGGCCGAATATACTAGCATGCGGGCCGCAGGTGGCTGGATTCTCCTTTGAAGGGTGAGTAGGCAATCAAGAGGTCGAAATTTCGTGATCTCGCGACAAATGACCACTTGTACAATGTAAATGTGGTGTCGCAATATTTTGCGAATGAGTGCTTTAATAAGAAAGCTACTAGCTAAGAATAGAAGAACCCATTCGCGGTTGCTTCACGTGGTTTAACTTTCCCGCTCAGTCTCATCACCCCGGCGCCGAGGGTTGGACTTAGCTTACCGTCCTAGCTAAGTCCACATCGCCACATAATACGCTATCTCGAGTTAGGTCATTGGCGCGCGTCCAAACACCAAGGAAAGCTACTCTTCGTGTCGCTAGCGTGACTTACTTAACCGCAAGCTCAGGTATCAGGAAGTGCGGTCGAAGCATATGATCGAAGCACTGAGTAGGTAAACAAATACGCGACACGCATGACGATTGCATGGCCACAACCACTTCCCCGCAATGCTAAAGGCTTGCTTCACAATGAGTAGAAGCATCCAACGAGCTCAGTTATACGTAACGTAGTCTATTAAAAAAATATGTCACTTTGCTGTATAAGACTGCACAGGTGTTAGCAATTCTAAGACTGGTACACTGCGTTAATGATGCTATTCCTTCTTGGGATACTTGAACGGAGAAATAATGGTCTGTCCGACCATTCATTCGTCTGTGCGTCTGTCTGTCTGCCTGCCTGTCTGTCTGTCTGTCTGTCTGTCTGTCTGTCTGTCTGTCTGTCTGTCTGTCTGTCTGTCTGTCTGTCTGTCTGTCCGTCCGTCCGTCCATCCGTCCGTCCGTCCGTCCGTCCGTCCGTCTGTCTGTCACACGATTCAGCCACCCGGCTAAGGTCAAAGCACTTGCTGAGCACTCAGCAATTATGAACTGGTGACTGTTTTCATAAATTTAATCATTCCCTTTAAGAAAACCAGTATTGCGTGTGTGCAAAAATACGAAGTTACAGAAAGCCACATATCACGTTAATGTCATTACATAAATTTAAAAGGCTTCTCAAATGTCATTTTTATGCGTCGAGTAGTAGACAAGTGAAAACAAAAATAAACGAATACTAATATTAAGAAGAAAATTGGAAAGAATGACAGTGATAAGCGGGCATCTAGTGTGTACCATCCTGTCGCAGCCGTTAGCCCACGCTTGTTCCGCACCGTACCTGATGTTTGTACCAAAGCCAGAGGAGGAAGATAGTGTTCGCTACAGCGACATTAATATCGACCTACGCGTTACAGCTTCACGCTTCATGTAGAAGGCGCGCGTTGTTGTGGGAAGCCGATAAGTTGCCCTTTCGAGCGTGGCTATCCAGTCCTGACGCCGTGCGGCTCACGAATAATTATTGAGCTCGGTCGCTTCGATCGCAGTGGCGGATGAGGCGGAACACCGAATTCGTTAATTTGAAGCGCACTGGAGCGCGCTGTTGTCAGACAGGGTTAGGTAACGGGCTCCGGTGAAAGCACATGACCCCGTTCACTTCCACGGTCCCTTCTAAAACAAAAAAAGAAACGTAAAAGCAAAACGAATAGCCATGTCGGTGTAGGTTGCTGCGTTACAGGGTATATTTTGTCCATCACTGAACACGGAGGTATCCACGCTTATACCACTCATGCTGCAGCCAGCTGAATCTCAAGGTCCTTCAAAAATATCCGCTATACTTGCTACCCCTATATCTAGCAAGTATTGCCTGGCCGACGTGACAATAAGGTAAAGCCTAGTAATACATGACCAATAATCAAACAGGGAATGACGCTTTAGGCATGCTTTCGACAAACAAATCAGTCTTCGCGAAGCGATGTTTCTTTTTATTCACTTGTGAACTCATCCTAACATGCGCTCATGGGACATTTGGGGTTTAAGGATGTCTCATCCCTTCCAAATTCCCCAGAACATTGTTTTTTTTTTAATTTTAAGGTCACCTGCAGCCCTGCGTTATGATAGCGCGATTCGCACCAGTAACTAAAGCCGTGCATTATGACAAACACAACAAACAAGTAGGGGCTGGTTTTCTGTGTTAGACAATTAGTTTCACTACTAGTGGAAGCTACGGAATAGCATCGCATTAAAAATGCAAAAAAAGATAATTGTGAGTACTAACAGTATGCTGGTAAAAGTTAGTTCTGATTATATTGTTACACCCGACGGTCTGTTTGAGTTTAATGTTATGCCATTCGGCTTGTGTAATGCCCCCGCCACATTTGAAAGATATATGGACACCGTTTTACGGGGCCTCAAATGGGAAATTTGCCTGTGTTACCTGGACGATGTGGTGATTTTTGGCCGAACATTTGAAGAACATAATCATTGCCTTGACCTCGTTCTAACCTGTCTCGAGGAAGCTGCGCTTACACTGAACTCAAAAAAATGTCGCTTTGGAGAACGTGAAGCCTTGGTTCTGGGACACCTGGTGGATAAAAATGGCGTCAGACCGGACCCGCAGAAAGTCGCCGCTGTCAGCAACTTCAAGCAGCCGCAGTCCCCCAGGGAGTTGCGTAGCTTCCTGGGCCTGTGTTCTTACTTTCGTCGATTTGTTCCGAATTTCGCTGATAAAGCACAACCACTGACTGTCTTGCTGCAAAAGAATGTCTCTTTCCACTGGACACCGGATTGCGAAGCAGCCTTTAAGCAGCTTCGGTTCATACTGACTTCAGGACCGGTACTTCGCCATTTCGATCCTTCTGCTGAAACGGAAATTCACACAGATGCCAGTGGAATCGGCCTTGGTGCAGTGCTCGTTCAGCGCCATGACAATGCTGAACACGTGGTCGCTTTCGCGAGTCGTTCGTTGAGCAAGGCAGAACGAAATTACACAGTCACAGAACAGGAGTGCCTCGCAGTCGTTTTCGCCGTGCACAAGTTTCGCTCATACATCTACGGCCGTCGCTTCTCGGTAATCACCGACCATCATTCTCTATGCTGGTTGGTAGGCCTCCGAGACCCATCTGGACGACTGGCACGATGGGCTTTGCGCTTACAGGAGTTCGACTTCACAGTACGCTACAAGAGCGGTAACCGGCACGCAGACGCCGACTGCCTATCGCGCCTTCCTCTACCGACGACGGAGTGCGACGCTGACAACTTCGACCAGTATATCGGCGCTATTGCCTCTGAGTTCCCTGATCTCGCGACTTTCCGGACAGCCCAACAAGAGGACCACTCCTTAGATTCTCTGTTCGCCTCCGCAAATGAACACGCAAACCCAAGCTCTTTTGTTGTTCATGACGGCGTCCTTTACAAGAAGAATCATTCCGGACAAGGCGTCCGTCTGCTTCTAGTTGTTCCACGCACTTTACGGGCTCACGTCTTTCGGTCCTTACACGACGACGCAACCTGCGGCCACATGGGCTTCGCCAGAACACTTCAACGAATCAAGCAAAGGTTCTATTGGCCCAAGATGCGACACGACACGGAAAAATACGTTGCTGGATGCGAACAATGCCAACGACACAAACGTCCCACGGCTACGCCGCCAGGACTTCTCCATCCTGTTCCACCTCCTAACTCTCCCTTCGAGACTGTTGGTGTCAATCTGCTCGGTCCATTTCCACGATAGAGCAGTAACAATCGATGGGTCGTCGTCTGTGTTGACCACCTAACGCGCTACGCAGAAACTGCTGCAATACCTGCTGCAACGGCCATGCACGTGTCGCAGTTTATGCTTCGCTGTATAATTCTCCGCCATGGTCCTCCACGCGTTGTCATTAGCGACCACGGACGTCAGTTCGTTGCCGACGTCGTTGAAGAGGTCCTGCGTCTGTCTGCCTGCCATTTCCGCCATGCCACACCATATCACCCGCAGACCAATGGTCTCGTAGAGCGCACGAACCGGACTCTCACGAACATGCTGTCTATTTATGTCGATTCTAAGCGCAAAAACTGGGACGAAGTGCTACTTTACATCACGTACGCGTACAATACCGCGAAGCATGAGACTACAGGTTACTCTCCATTTTACCTGCTGTACGCTCGCTCCCCACGATTTTATCTCGACACTATACTACCTTTTACACTAGACGTGGAAACCTCGACAGCCGAGACGCTCTGCCGCGCAGAAGAAGCCCGTCGCATCGCACGCCTCCGAACCTTGGCATCCCAGCAGCGTTCTAAGAAACGTTACGACGCCTGCCATCGCTCCGTATCTTATAGTAAGGGCGATCTTGTGTGGATATGGACACCAGTCCGCAAACGTGGTTTGTGCCAGAAGTTCTTGGCTCACTATTCCGGTCCATTCGTCATTCTTGACCGCCTCAGCGACGTCACGTACGTAATCTCGAGCGTCACAAGCAATGGTCGCCGCTCTAGCAAAACACAACTGACACACGTTGCGCGCCTTAAACCGTGCCACCATCAACCATCTGAGTGACTCGCCTAGAGGGCATCGTCTGCGAACCGGGAAGTAAAACGCGCTAGCGAAGATTCGACGAAGAGGAGGAAGAGACTCGACTGGCTCGCGAGCGACGCTGTGGATCCTTCGCTGAGCTACACCTCTGCATTACCCATCTTGTAAATAAACGCGTTCCATCGTCACAATATGCTAGTTCTCATTATAATTGCAAAAATACAGCTAATTCATGTTTACGGTGCAGATTATTCTGCGACACTGTTGGCAGTTTCATTTCAATCAGTAGTCACAATAATCTCAAATTGCTAATGCGACGAATTAGGGTTGCAGCAGTGAACTAATGCGGTGCTATTCACGTGTACTCGTTATCGAAATGCATTAAAACTGCGTCTCCAAGTAAACGATGTCGTTGTTGATCACTTACCTTCCAGGAAACTTTGAGAGATTGAGAACCCGTTGTGTGCACTGTGAGTGATAATGGCGCACCTGATGGAGCTGCGAATGAAAAAGAAAGAACATGTAGCAGATAGTGTGATACTGATCTTATGAGAGAATCAGTTTACAACATTAAGACACGGCCGAATTTCATCTTAGGCAAAACTACTAAATTATTCTGCTCATATTAAGGGTATAGTGATCAACAATGTAAGCCAGGCACTTTTTTCAATTTGAGAGGGCCCAGTTTTTTTGGTATTCTCCGTTCATATCACTAAAAGCAGTAATAATACGGGCATAATAAAGGGAGTGCTTCAAAATGTTATTTCTGACTCAAAACTTTGTGTGAAAATTCTACGGTTTAGCTGTAGTTCTGCACGAGCATGAATAGGGTGGTGCATATAATCTTCATGGAATGGATCCCTTTTGGTAGAATCTAGTTGAGCTAAGAAAAACGCTGTGTAATGATAAGTACCATGATTGCGTAAATAGCTGTACATCAGTACTAAAGGCAACCATAATTTCAAAGATTTTTTTTGAGCCAAAATTGTTCATAAAAGCAAAATCCTAGTAACCAGCGGCTCTCCTATTCACTGTCCAGCCCAGTAATTGCACAAAAACCCGAACAAAAAAAATTGCCGAATTCGAGAGCAATTTATTTTTCAATGTATAGGCGCAACTATTGCATACTGGTAGAAATAACAAATGCATCAGCCTTTCTTACTTGCCCATGACATATTCACAGAGCCACGAATTATCTAAGTAATTCATAATAACAATTTCATTAGGCATATTCAGTGAACTACACTTTTACAACACTTGGATAAATGAATCAATTAATCTGTCATTAACTCCTCCAACAATTGAGTGAAAAGTGGGGTTTCCTTCTCGTCTACACTACCTAAGCCCGTAATCATAACCACAAGCCTGGCAGCGCTGATTGTAAGGCCAAGGCCTATCCTATATTAAGCAAATCAAATCAGTGGTGTGCTCACCATGGCCACGTTATGCCCGCAAGCTTCTTCATCTCGTGTATCCAGCTAGCTTTGTTTCTTCTTTGCGCACGCGCTATCTAACCCGCACGTGCTGTATGTTTAAAACCACTTGCACCCTTACAATGCAGATTACAAACGCCAGCTACCATCTGTAATCATCATATGCCCAACAGTAACTACTAGTAGCCACTGTTGGGCATGTGATGACCTCTCACTTCTACCAATATTTCATTTTATATACAAATCACATGACTAAAAAGAAATCAGTTGATCACGAAAGACATCCAAGCGAGACAACGAAGTCGATCGGCTGCGTCATACATGGCAAAGTCATCGACATGCAAGTCAGGAAAAATGTACCTCTCGAATAACTGAAATGTGCAGAATTTGAATTCCAGCGTAGTTACGCAAAGTGAAATATTCTTTTGGTAGCACTGGCCAAGGTGGGAAGTGGAAGCTAACTTTATTCATTAGTGAATTATGGCCGAAAACGGAACACTGCTCATACTGAGAAAGAAGGTAATCTGGAAGCACTTGCCTTCTTCAAGGGTGGTGACCACCACCTGGTTGCTGTGCTCTCCTGGTCCAAGTGGATTTTCGGCAGAGACACGAATGGCGTACTTGGTGACAGGTTGAAGCTCCCGAACAGTGCTTTGTGTATCAGAACCAAGGATGACTAGGACGGAGACGGGTCCATTCCAGGGGTCTTGACGAGAAAATAGATTGCAGAAAGAAGCGCCCTAAATCTTCTGCTCTCTAGTTAGGGACCAGTGCGAGAGATACATAAATTTCCTGCGCTTGCAATAAAGTGAATTTTCCTCAGCCTAAACGCAATCTCTGTCATTTGTAAGTAAGCTGGGAGAAATATACTCGCACAAGTTCTAGTAATTTACGTGTAAGGATCTCGAAGTTTTCATGAGGCACGTGTATTGGAGTATTGAGGATTATTTTGGCATGATGCAGTTCTTCAACGGACACATTAATCTTGGGGCGGGAGTGGTGTTCTTACATTTTATATAAACTGTGGCCAACCAGTTAAAGTCAACTTAGCGACATGGAACTAGCTCCACAGCTCTTGATAATTCATTCCTCACCATTGAGGAGCTTGTAGTTGAGCATGTAGCGAGTGATAGGGCTGTTGCCATTGTACGGAGTCTGCCACTGCACTGTCGCAGAGCGACTAGTGCAATTTGTCACTTGAACTCCTATTGGAGGATCGGGTGGCTCTGAAAAAAAAAAGGCAACAAGTTACAGTGAATTTTCACTCCGTCAAAATGGGTGCCAAGAAAGTAAGTCAATGCTAGCTTTTTGCGAATTATTCGTACGTCTCTTTAGCCTAACGAGCATGTACGTTTGAAGCAACCTTTTTACCATCGCTGTGTGTTGTGGTTCACATTGCACACTAGTTGAAACGTTGGTAGTATTGGCTTGAGATCATCATTTATTGCGAAAAAGCGACAGCGATGTATCTTCTCTACCAAGTGATAACAAATTTGCTTGTTATCTACCTTCACAGAGAAGAAAGCCTGACCACTTTTGTCACTTCCTTCTGTCGCATATTTCACAAATTGAAGAACCACTTATACTACGAGGCACGTCCCCTTTTTTCTATATGGTCTACAGGGGTTAAAAAAAGGAGAGTTGTACCACCTGTCCCTGACTTTTAGCTAAACACCCACAGACGCAAAAAAAAAACATCAACGGTCGTCATAAGTTGGCAAAATTACTTCTGAGTCAGCTCACTAAGATTCCGTTTGATCCGTTATCCTGCACCTAAGTTAGCCTGGGTAAATATTATTTCGTGAGTTTGAGTTTACGTCAGTTCGCCTGAGAACAGTGAGTCTAAGTCTGCATATGTTCACATGCAAGTAATTTCGGCGAGCTTGAATATTAGCGAGCCCTAAGCGGAAAAGGTATTTCTTGGGCTGGACAACCTCTGAAAAAAGGCGTGAAAATATTAACTTCTCTCGACAGACCATTGCCATATCAAGGTGGGAAAGTCTGTTGATGGTTCGGCATACCACGATATCAAAGTCAGTGATCTTAACATCTCTTCGTAGCCATTGATTTACAGGCCCAATTTTCTCTAAAGCACTCTTTCACTATCACCTTATTAAGATGGCACCGCCATTTCCTAACGAGGCCGAGCATATGCTTGCTGGCAGTAATCGTACCTGGGGTCATTTCAACGCACGTAGACGCTGCTAAAATTTAGAGAACTTCATAAGGTCACTTGCGCCGTCTTTTTTTTATCGCCTACATTTCTGAAACTTGCCTCTGCACTTATGACGGCAATGTGTTCGGCCCGTCATCGTGCAAAGCTGAGTACTGTCACCGTTGTTCAGGCAGCGATGGTGGCTCAGCAGTCTTTATCGCCTCAAATCTCTGTCACACTTGCCATTAAGCTTTTCTTTAGGAATCACACATAGCAAATCAATGCGGATTGATTTATATAATTCGTTTTTAAACGATAACAATGTTTTTTCTGGGGGTATTTACCGTTCATCTTTTTCGAACTTGAGAGATTTCATTACTCAACTAGACATCACTTTTCGTTCATTATTATCTTAAATCAAGGGCGTTTTTATAGTTCAAGACAGCAACTTCAACTTGCTGAACACTGATAATTGTGAGTACACAGAATATTGTGACAATGCAACGCGTTTATTTACACTATGGAATGATTGCGAGAGGTACATCTCCGAGCGAAAAATAGGAGACCGAGCTGCCACGTGCTAGTACCGCTTTGACCTCGTCCTCTTCACGCATCCATCGAGATTGCTTCATTGCCTCCTTCACAGATGATGTCCGGTCGACGGTTCAGTAGGAAATTCGATCGTTAAAAGGCTTGAGGCGTGGGCGTGCGTCAGCTGTGTTTTGCCAGAGTGCCGACCATTGCTTGTAAGGCCAGAGATGATGTATGTAACGCACGGAGGCGATCAAGAATTACAAATCGTCTAGAGTAGCAGACCAAACATCTTTGGTAGAAACCACGTTTGCAGACAGGTGTCCACAACCACACAAGGTCACCTTTTGTGAAAAAAACGAAGTGATGGTGGGCGTAGTACCGGGTCTTGCAGCGCTGTTGAGATACAATGGTTCAGAGGCGTGCGATGCGACGGGCTTTTTCAGCGTGGTATAGTGACTCGGCAACCGATGTGTCCACACCTAGCGTAAAAGGCAGAATGGTGTCGAGATAACTGCGAGGAAAGCGGGCGTAGAGCATAAAAAGGGCGAGCATCTTGTCTCGTGCTTCGCGGTGTTGTATGCGCATGTGATTAGGGCAATGCCTCGTCCCAGTTTTTGTACTTGGCATCAACATAACTTGGCAACATGCTCATCAGCGTCCTGTTGGTCCACTCTATATATCAGGCCACTCGTAAGTGGGTGATACGGACCCGCCTGTTGGAATTGGCTGGCAAACAGGCGTACGATCTCTTCACCAACGTCTGCGAAGAACTGACGTTTCCGGTCGCTAATGGCGACTAGTGGAGGGCGATGACGTAGATATGGCAAAACATAAACTGCGACACGTGAAAGTCTGTTCCAGTAGGTATTGCCAGTTTCTGCGCAGTGCGTCACGTGGTCGAGGCATATGGTAACCCATAGATTTGGAGTGGCTGAACGCGGAAAGGGACATAGAAGGGTGACACCCGCGATCTCGAAGGGATGTTGGCAGCTTGGGCTAGTTGGTATGGCATGACGATAGTTATAGCGCGAGAACAAAACGACAACACAGAGATAAGAAGGACACAAAAGCACTCGTGTCTTTCGTGTCCTCTTTGTCTCTGTGTCGTCGTTTTGTTCTCGAAGGGAGAGCTAGAAGGTGGTACGGAATGAAGGAGACCACGTGACGTAGTAGTGGGACGCTTGTGACTTTGACATTGTTCCCAACCCCCTACGTGTTTTCCGAGTCGCATCGCATCTGGCGCCAGTAAAACCTTCGATGGATGCAATGAAACGTTCTGGCGGAGCTTATGTGTCCACTGGTTGCGTCGTCATGGCCGAACAAAATTTTGGGGACGTATAGTGCGTGGAACTACCAGAAGCAGACGGGCACCTGGGCTGGAATAATTCTTCGTGTAAAGAACTGCGTCGCGAACGACAAAAGAGCTTGTCTTGGCGGGTTCATTCACGGAGGCAAACAGGTAATTGAAGCAACGGTCCTCGTACTGTGCTGCCCGAAAAGTCGCGAGGTCAGCGAAATGAGAGTATATAGCAGCGATAAAATGATCAAAGTTGTCAGATTCACACTCCGTCGTTGGTGGAGGAAACCTTAACAGGCAGTCAGCATCTACATGCCATGACAGTTACCGGTCTTGTGGCAGACAGTGAAGTGAAATTTTTGTAAACGTTGGGCCCTTCATGCAAGTCGACCAGAGGGATCGCGTAGGCCTACCAATCAGCAAAGGGAGTGATGATCTGTGTTGACTGAAAAGTGACGGCCGCAGATGTTGGGTCGAAACTTGTGTATGGCGAAAACGAGGGCGGCCAACCCGTTCTATAATCATATAATTACGCTCTGACTTGCTCAGGGACAGCCTTACATAGGCAACGTTCTGTTCAGCATTGTCATGGCGTTGAATGAGCACCGCGCTGAAACCAACTTCACTGGCATTCGTGTGCATTCCCGTGGAAGCAGAGGGGTCGAAATGGCGTAGTATAGGCCCTGAAGTGAGGCCCGGAAGAGTGGCCCGGAAGTTGCTTAACTGCTGGCTCACAATTTGGTGTCCAGTGCAGAGGGACGTCCTTGTGCAGCAATTCAGTCAGTGACTAGGCTTTTTTATCAAAATTAGGCACAAAGCGTCGAAAACAGGAGCATAGATTGAGAAAGTTTCACAACTCCCGGAAACACTACGGCTACTTGAAGTTGCTGATGGCGTCAAATTTCGAGGCATCCGGCTTAACTGCAGCTTTGTGCCCACAGTGTCCTAAAATCACTGTTGCACATTTTTTAGCTAAGTGTCAAGACTGCTTTCTCTAAACATGTTAGAATAAGTTTGAGGCGATGATCTTGTTCCCCAGAAGTTCATTTGGAGATAAGAAGGTCATCCAGGTAACATAAACAAATTTACCATTTATGGCCTCGCAAGACATAATCTAGACGGCGTTCAAATGTTTCGGGGCCACTACACAATGCATACAACATAACATTGAATTCCAAAAAACCGTCTGGCGCCACGAGAGCCGCCTTTTCTTCAGAAGTCGTAGCCATAAGAATCTTTCAATACCTGGATCGCAAGTCTACCCAAGAAAAATAGGAAGCTGAATGCGGGCAGTCGATCACGTCATCAATGCGAGCGAGTGAATATATGTGCTACTTGGTTATAGAGTTGAGCCACCGATAATCAACACACAACCTTTAGCACTCATCCATTTTTTCAACATAACAGGCACATTCCAGGAACTTCACGATTCTTGAGTGACACCGGTGATTAGCATTTCACTAACATGTTCTGCAATAACCTTGCGCTGCGACGCGGCAACGCGAAAAGGCTTTGGTCAGAGAGGATGACCAGATCTAGCATCGATCTTGTGACAGGCGCACGTGTTCTGTATCTCATACCTATGCACCTTGTGAGAAATCAAATGCTTTAGCATGCCTCGCCAGTAGTGCAACCAGTGTTCTGCGCTTCTTGAAGCAAATGGACTTGGTAGCCATTTTCTAGAATTCAGCTTCCATGCCAGTAGTTTCATCGTAATCCGACTTTGCAGGATCGCTTAAGGCTCCAACGCAGGTACGGCTCTGTTTTTAAATATGGCAAAGCGCATACTGAACGGTAGTGCAATTCACTCGGGTAAGCTGTTTATCACCCAGAGTTGAGCCTTCTTTCCCGCGAGAGATACAAGGCGGCGTGGTACAATTTTTTTTCTTGAAACATGCTGCGCAGAAAGGCTCAATCACAATATCACGTAAAGTCGAACTCAAGTCTGTTTCCGAAGCGGTAACTTTGCCGTGGAACACGCCGACATCTTAAGCTACAGTGAGGTTACCTTTCTCGTAATCACGCTTCTGGGCGGGAGTCAACAACAGAACTTTGCCAGCTCCACAATTAACTGTCGCACGATACTCTCTCAAATAGTCTATGCCAATGATGACTATTGTGCGTTGATTAAGTTAGTACTGTGAGTTCCGCCTTGAACGTTTTACCGGCAACACTGAGAGACAATGTGCAGATCCCGACTGGACGCAAGAACGGGCCCCTCATTGCTCCAGAGGTGCAAG